CGCCCTGCCCCGCACTCCCCGCGACACCCAGCCCCGCAGGTGCCCCTGGGCGCCGCTTCCCAGCAGGGGCCGCCGGCCAGGGGGGCCGCCGCCGGCCAGCGCGTCACCTCGAGCGCCCCAGGGCCGAGTCGGTCAGGAGAGCTGAGGCGGGCGGCAGAGCTCTGCGAGGCTCCGCGGGTCTGGGAGAGCGCAGAGACCGGGGGTGCCGGCCGGCCGTTGGGGCGCAGCGGCGGCGGGGTGGCCGCCTGGGGCGGGCAGAGCAGGAGAAGGCTGCGCGCGCCGGGCTTTGGCGGCGAGGACGCTGCAATAAACGTCTGGCCTTTGTGGGCTCTGCTGCGTCCAGAAGGTTCTTTGCCCGCGCACTGGGGTGCCCCAGGGAACAAAGCCGAGGGGACCGCCGTCCTGGGGTGAAAGCCAGGCGGGGGCAGGTGACTGGAAGCCAGGATTCGCGTGCGGGCACTGGGGGGCCAGGGTGGGGGGCCGCAGCAGGGGCCGCCACCTCGCCCCTGCACAGCCACCCGCGGTGCCCGTCTGCAAACCCGCACAGCCGGGCCCGCTGCTCTGGCCGAGTCTGGGCCCCACAGCGACAAGGCCGGGAGGGGGGGGGCTGGACCCCGCCTCCCGCTCTCTGGGCAGACGCCCCCTTCCGCCCCCTTCCGCGCCCACAGCCCACGGGCCGCCCGAGGGGCAGCGCCCGGGACCGCAGCAGCGGAGCTGGCAGGACTCCTGGTCCGCGGGCGGGCAGGGCGGGGAGCAGACCCTCTCCTGGGCGCTGCTGGGGGCGCACAGCTCGCGGCCTCCGGCCACAGGCGCCGGCCAGGGACCCGTGGAGCCGACGTGGCGGTGGTGGAGGGGCAGGCAGCGGGGGCCCTGGCGGGGGGGCCGGGGAGGTCGCCTCGGCGTGACCACAAGGAGCAGGGTCCCCAGGGCTCCCGCCCCCGGGTCTGCTGTCCCGGGCTGGAAGTGGGGGCGCAGGAGCAGGGCGGCTCCAGACGGGCTGCCCGGGCCAGCACGACCCCCCACCCCCCGTGTCTGCACCCCAGCCAGCACTTCCCCTTGCCCTGGCTAGCCAGCCGTGCCCCTGGGGGCACCCCCCCTCCGCCCGTGGCTTCCTCCTGTCCAGTAGTGCTGACCGGCCGCCCTGGTGCGTGCGGGCCCTGCTGGGGACCATCCCGGGCCAGGCCTTGGCTGGAGGCAGCGTGGGCAGAGCAGGGGACGGAACCTGATGCCTCCCCCTTTCCTGGGGGGACGCCCCAGCACCCCTCCCCCAGTACGGGACGGGACGGGGCACACGCCACGCGGTGTGGCCCCGCAGCTGGCCGCGGGCTGCCCGCCGTCTGCTGTCCACAGCGCAGCTGCCCGAGGGAGCCAGGGCCAAGAGGGCGTCTCCGGGTCCCAGTGGGGCCGCAGCCGCGCCGTCTGCCCCACTCACCCCCCAGCGCGCCCACCCCTGCCCGCTGCCCGCTGCCCACGTGAGCGCCACGGCGTGAGCGTCTGCTCAGCCACCTGCGCGCCTCCCCTGGACCTGGCGCCCGGGGTGGCCCCTGTGCCACGCCCCTCGCCGGCCCGGGGCCCTGAGGCCTGGGTGCGTCTCCCGGTGCTCGCCACTCGGGCTGGTGCCTCCCCCCAGGCGGCACCCCCAAGTGAGACACCCCCATACCCTCTCCCCTCCTGAGCAGCCCGGCAGAGCGCCCCCCGGCCGCGGGGGTCTTCGCCTTGGCCGGCTGGACCCAGCTCCTGTGGCTGCAGTGGGGGGCTCTGGGGTGGCCGGGGGCGTCCTCCCTCGTGTCCCAGCCCTGGACCTTGACTTGGGCTCCGCAGCGCGGCCCGCCGCCCCTCACGGCCCC